GTTAGCTTAGGTTAATCGAGCTGATAGCCTAGTGGTTAGCCTAGGTTAATCGAGCTGATAGCCTAGTCCTAGCTCGGAACTCTTTGATCTTGGTTCAGATCCGCAGTGAAGCCTTTTGCTTTCTGGCTTTTTGCCGGTGGAAAGCGCCTTGTGCTGAAAAATTCGTAACTTTAGAGCCTCAATCAAAACGGTAAGCGTTTTAACTATTTTAACTCATTTTTTCCATTACTTCATCAAAAGCCACTATTTTTGCTAACAAGGGAACCTTCTCAAGTTACCCGCAAGCTACAATGTGAGGTGGATGCCAAAAGGAAAGGCCTGAGACTCTTCTGGAGACTTGAGACTTTGAGACGTTCAGAAACTGGGTTTGCGGAAACCCGCTAATCGGCAAAACAAAACCAGCACGGTCAAAAGCAGCCATTGAATGTTTATTTTCAACATTCGAAAGGCATAAATAATTCAGGGGGGTAACTTGGGATGGTTCCCTTTGTTAGACTTGGGGCTTAGGCCTAAGCCAGAGTCAGAGTCAGAGTCAGAGTCATCAGAGTCGAGAGCCAGAGCCTAGGCTCTGGCCTGACCTTAGGGCCTGTCCCTGACTGTTTTAGGGCAAAGCTCAAATCAGCTAGAATCTTTTTAGATGTCTTCTGTCTCTTTACAATCACTGAATCGCGTAAATGAACCAAATTTTGGTCATACACGGGGCTAGGTAATACAGTTGAGTTCTTTGTTCGAGCTAGGCAATATACCGGCAATGTTTAGTGCTTCCATATAATCCTGTACACTCATCACTCACGATCCCAACTCCCCAGGCAACCCGTGGATCCGTCCCACATTGCCCGTATAGCTTGCTCGCACAAATAAATATTTGTGTCATTGCTGGCCAGGTAGAAGTCCGACTTCTTGTTGCATCAACGAGCTGAATACTTGGCCTGGTGTACATCTTGAAAGAGATTTCTGGTTCTTCCGACAAAAATTGATCTTTTACGATCAAAATTCGATCTTTACGATCAAAATTGGATCTTTTACGATCAAAATACGAATCTTTTCATACGAAAAGATATCATTTACAAAAACCAAAGCTAATCCGATTCTTTTGGGACTTTTCTTGAGACAAAGGGTTAAAATAAACCCCGTCAATAGATTCTACGACCCTGAAAACCCTAGGGTACAATTTTGAACACTAAATCTCATTTGAGAATCATTTCCAGAACAAAAGAAATTCCTTTGTAAAGAGACCGCGAGGTGTTCTTTAGTGCGGTCTTTGTGCGGGCACGCAATCGCTCGCGATCTGGCACATGCTGCCGATAGATAGGCTTTCCCTTTCGCTTTCAAACGAAAATAGGAACCGTATTGGAACCGTATTAGGATCAAAATAGGAATCGTATTGGAACCGTAAATCTCGTTTGAAACCAACTTGGGATCACTCTAGCTTGTTTGGCGAGATGTCTTATTCAATTGAACAATTCGATGGCTTTTCAATATACAGGAATGATACAGAGGTAAAGGCTATTGTAGAATTCAGACAAATTGTTGGATAGCTTCGCTTCTAGCCAAATCCCGAGAGCAAGCTTAATTTATCCAACATATGCATCACAAAACTCTCAAATTTGGGTAATTAAACGGAATTGGAGCGAATCAGCTTGATTTAATTGAATATCTTTAGAAAAGTTAGGGAAACCCAATTTAGAATATAGATATAGAAAAAGTCGAAATTTAAATATCTTAACTCATCGGCACTCACGTCACTGGCAAGTTTCTGGACTCAACCATCGCTGTCATTGTCGTCGATTGGAGCCGGATGGGAGTGTCTGTAGGAATTTGAATTTCGTTGATAGGATTTGCTGATAGGATTTGTTGGATAGACTTTGTTGATAGACTTTATGATAGAATTATGACTACTTTATGACTACTTCGATGCACTAGGGTTTACGGTGGATAAATATGGATTGCTGTGGATTGCTGTGGATATATAAAGCTTCATAATTCTGATAAACCTGTTCCAAACAAACCTGTTCCAGTATCGCTAAAATCTCCTCCATTTTATCTCCCATATACTGGTGTTCACTGCGGAATGTCCACTCGACGAATGACCGAGTCAGATTCGCCAACGTCAAATCCGCATAGAAACGATGCAATACTGGAATCTCATATAGATTTCTTTTCGTTGAGATATTTCAAAAAAGATTATTGAAAAAAGTTACTGAAATATGTGTACTCGTCCCTCATATTTCCCAGAATTGCCGGCAAATTCGGCCTCTTTTTCCCCAAATTCTCGAGGGTGTCGTTGAGGAAATTGTTGTCGAAAACCATGTTCCAAGCCTGGCTTTGAACATTGGATATGTTTTTTGGATAATATACCGTTTTCTCTCTAATAATAGTGCACTCCGCCGAGCCGAGTTGATGACTATTTTACGGTTTCTAAGTTTCCTAAAAAAAGCTCAACACTCTAATCCCCCACTAGATCCAAAATCCAAAATCCAATCCAAATTCTATTCTTTACCCTGTTTACTGTAGCTTTAGTTCATTAATTTCTCAAGTTTAAATAGATTCTACTCATCTAGATCTAAATTTAGATATATTTACTGCTTAGATATTATTGTTTAGATATTATTGTTTAGATATTATTGTTTAGAGAGATAAGGAACGAAATTTGTTGAGATAAGGAACCAATGGGAAATGGGATTTCCATAAATGACCAAACTCATGCACTAATTTGCCATCCAGCTTAGAGAAATTTGATAAAATTTTCTGCCCAAATCAAATTCTAACGTTTCAAATTTTCCAGCTTTTGGATGGACTATGGATTCTACTCAAATGTCTGTAAATGATGACTGCAAACGTTGAAACTACTCAATGCTATCTAGTTTCAAAGTCTTAGAAGTGTTTCAAGAGCTTAGAAGTCTTTCAAAGTCTTATTTTGATATTATTTAATATTTACCTCATCATATTTCAAAATATCAGCCGTGGTTCTATTTTTGAGACACGGTGCGAGACTCGAGAAATCATTTCCGTTGAATTGCGCCGGGGTTAGCCCGCAGAGCTGAATCGGAAAATTGCATAAAAATGATCAAAAACATAACATATTAGGTTGATGCATAAGTGTTTTTGTTCCTTTTCGTCTGCCGTTTCAAGCCAACAAATGCGCCAATTAAACTACGGTTGATTTCATTAGAAAAACCAATTATTTTTCTGCAAAATAACATAAAAACGGGTTTAAAAATATTTAATGCCTGGATTTTCTTGAGAGTATGAAGTCGGGTAGTCAAAAAGGGCTAACTCGATGATGCGGTTTAGACACCTTACCTAAAGAAAACCTATCTTCGTGTCAATAGATAAAAGATAGAGAAAAAAAACGTTTGATATTTTAATAATAATAATAATACTTTATTCAAACGATAAAGTGAAAGAAATCATAGAGAAATGCACAGTGATACTTAATCATACAATACATACTGAAATCAATAAGCCAATTACTTACGGCAAAGAGCCACTAGATCTAAAGCATCGATACGTTTCTTGAATATGAAAAGCGACTGAATTTCTCGTATGTCGTTTGGGAGCAAGTTCCATAATCTAGCGGCTCTAACGGGAAATGAATTTGATAAAGAGGCATTGGAAGCAAAGGGAATTTGCAAAAGGAATGAGCCACTTCTGGGCCCTGACCGCGGTTTAAATTTGAAAAAGTTTCGCCAAAATTTCAGAGAAATTCATTCAGCCAATTTTTCCGTAGAGTTTTTTATAGATTTTTACGAAAAAGGCGTTTTTCACTCTCGAATTTGCTTGAAAGTGAACCGAAATTCATTTAAAAAGATGCTAATTGAACAAAAAAAACACTTTTTTTATAGAGCAAACTATAGATTAATTGGTGAATTTGTTACTTTTTAACAGAAGTACGAAAAAAACGAAAAGACTTATGCATCAACCTATTACACTATCACTTTAAAGTTAAATTCTTACAATTTTAAAGTCTTACAAAACTTCGAGCTCAACTTCAAGCTCAACTTCAAGCTCAACTTCAAGCTCAACTTCAAGCTCAACTTCCAGCTCAACTTCAAGCTCAACTTCAAGCTAAGATCACTCTCTTGTCAGCATTTTATCTCGTCATTATTTTATCTTGTCATCACAAGACTGCCCTCTCAAGACTGCCATCATTTTACTCACTTTTCCCGCCTGTTCAACACTTTGCGCGATCGTTTTGAGGCAAGTGAGCGCCGCGCCAGACTCCTGGATTGTTTGGGCAAAGAGACCTAAAATTTATGATTGAAAATTAGCATTTAAAGATAAAATAAAGATTGAAATCAATAGAAAGATATCATTAGAAAGATATATTTATATCTAAACTTTTTCAACCTCGAGATAAAGGCGAAAACGAGTGAGCCGAGACCGAGGCCGAGCCAGCGGATTCCCCGAAAATCGTCACTTTTTTCGGATCACCCCCGAATTTAGCAATGTTATTTTGCACCCATTTCAACGCTTCGATCTGAATTTGAATTTGAGTTGATTGATTTAAATCAATAGCTTTTAGTTTGCATTTAAAAAGTGACGAACTTGATCAAGAAGACCACGATTTGCTGGGTAATCATCGGTGAGAGTGGTGAAGAAGCCTGAAAGGATGTCCTGGACTTGGTCTGACTTTGGCTTGGCTATGGAGAACTATGTACATGTACAGTACGGACTAGTAGACGTACATTACGGACCAGTACTATGTACAGCCAACTACAGTACCCCAGAATCCGAGTCGATACTGAATAGTGACCACGATGACATCTTGGGAGACAAACGTGCGCACTCCAGCCTGAACTTGAATTTATTATTATCACCACCTAACAGCGGGTTTTTCTGGCTGGATTTCTTGTCGCTGTGGTGCAGTCGGCAGCGCGCTTGTCTGCAGCTCACACGTTTCTATGTTCAAATTCTTGTAAAAGTTTCCGCAACACGCAACACTTCGGCTTTCCACTTTTCGACATCATCATAGTTGACGGTAATCTGCTTTGAGAGAAAGCGATGGAGTTCGCAAACTTAGAAGGAATTAAGCCTAAGCCTAAACCTAAGCCCAAATCCAATTAGACTTAGTGCGAGGCGCTAGCCGCTGGCCTTCGCACTAAGTCCAAGCCTAAGCCTAAGGCCAAGCCTGAGCCTAAGCCTAAGCCTAAGCCTAAGCCTGAGCCTAAGCCAAGCAAGTAGCGGTTGGCTTCCCCTTTTAAAACAACTGACGCTTCTTGAATTTATCCAGCCAACTGCCACTTGCTTGAAAATCCTTATTCCTTCCAAGCTTGCCAACTCCATCGCTTTCTCTTGAAGCAGATTGCCGCCAATACATTCTTTTTGACTTCGCATTTGTTCCAAATAAGCACAGACTTTTCGATTGCTTAGCTAGGCTTAGCTAGGCTTAGCTAGGCTTAGCTAGGCTTAGCTAGGCTTAGATAGGCTTAGATAGGCTTAGCTAGGCTTAGATAAAGTTATAACTTTTACCAAAAATTTATAACTATAATTTATAACTTTTAAAAACCCTTACTTTATACGGATATTCTTGAGCACATCCACTATCAAATGATCCGCCATGGATGAAAACCATCACAGCTTTGTTGGCTGGAGTTCTAGAGCCCTAAAAATTCTAAAGGATCAATGCTAAAGTACAAAGTATTGCATAGGTGTACTTTGTACTCAGTAAACACCCTTTCCTGGTGCGCTGAATTCGTCGCTTTCTGAGTAAACCTAGGAAAATGAAGGAAACAAAAAAGTACACCAGAAAGGGTGCTATGAGTACACTAGAAAGGGTGTGTTTACTGAGTACAAAGTACAGTTTAAGCATAAAACAGCAAAGAGCAAAGTGCAAAAGCAAAGAGCAAAAGCTTACATTTGGAGCAAAAACATTCAGATATAAGCAATCCTCATCGTATGGGGCTTTCATCGTTCCACAGGGTTCCGCCTGAGGACAAGCTGGCCTAAAAGTTACTTTACTTACTAAAAAAGCTTATTAAATCGATTTTCAGGCTTATAAATCCATTTCCAACCTTATAAAATCCCTATTAAATCCAATTTTGCTAATTAAATTCCTTTCTCTTTTCTCTTCTCTTGGCAAATCAAAGTATCGGATAGTTCAGTGGTTAGAGCAATTGCCTGGAAAGGAAAAGAAAGGAAAGCAATTACCTGGAAAGGAAAAGAAAGGAAAGCAATTGCCTGGTTCAATTCCATCTCCGAAAAACTACCGTAAATACTGTAATAGTACCCCAACCCCATAATGACGGTGCGGAGTGTTGCGTAGTCTAGCTTTGAACGAGTTTTTCTCGACACTGGTTTAAGCTAAAATCTTCGTTTTGGTATCAAAAAATAGCCCTGAATTTCAGCTATTTTTTGATACCAAAGACGCATTTTTTGAAAGTACGGACGCTTTGAAAAAAATGAAATATGAAAAACCTTTTGCGATTACGCGACTGTACGAGGGCGGTGGGGTACTATTACAGTATTTACGGCATCTATTTCTTGCCAATTCCTTCATTTCTTTATTAGCCCGTATTATTCTTCTTCAATTCCTTCACTTCTTTATTTCTTGCCAATTCCTTCACTTCTTTATTAGCCCACTTCTGTACATTCTGTACAAAGAAAATAGTACTTAAACTTTTAAAGGCATTTCTCACTTCCACGAAGTTGCATTAATCATAGGCTGTGGGAATTTCGTGATCGGTTTTGGCTTCTGCAAAGGATTTCCTTTGTTCTTTCAAAAGATAAGCGACTCACGGCGAATCGCAAATCGCCCAATGGTGGCTCAACATAGGGAATTCCCAAGAAAATGTCCGCATTCCCGTAGTAAAGTTGGCTTGAATCGGTGCCGTAGTCCACATGGAAACCCTGAATTTGAGATTTATTTGCTAAAAATAGCAAATTTGCTAAAAATAGCTTCATATTTGAAGGAAAACACAAAGTTTGAAACACAATTTTGTGACTCCTTTTGATACTCTTGTGTTGCTAAGCTGTTCTTTGTGCTTTCAATCAACCAGGCGCTTCTTAGCAGACTAATCATTAGCATTTCTATGAATTAGCGCTCACAGTGATCATTTTTCTGCTTTGGGAATTCAAATTTGAGAAGTTGAGAAAGTTGAGAAGCCGCGAATCAAGAAAAAAAGGAAAGCAAATCAAGAACAAAAGGAAAAGAATGTTCGGAGCTTAGCGCTTCGGAGCTTAGCGCTTCGGAGCTTAGCGCTTCGGAGCTTAGCGCTTCGGAGCTTAGCGCTTCGGAGCTTAGCGCTTCGGAGCTTAGCGCTTCGGAGCTTAGCGCTTCGGAGCTTAGCGCTTCGGAGCTTAGAGCTTCGGAGCTTAGAGCTTCGGAGCTTAGAGCTTCGGAGCTTAGAGCTTCGGAGCTTCTTTTGAGCTTAGAAATCTGAATGCACCTTTTCTAGTGCACTGATTTCTTTATAAAGTTGTTTATTTACCTGAATATCTCCTAAATCCGTCGTCACAGTCACCAAATTTTCAGCATTCGCAAAAATGGCAAAACTACAAAGAAACAGGAGCATTTCTGAAGGAAGTCTCGAGTGATTTCACTCGTTTTTTTCATGGGTTTTGGAATCTATTTGTAGCTGATTTTCTTATCTTTTTTTCTTTGATTTGAGTGTGCATGAATTCTCGCGAATTTTCGCACTCCCGTTTAAACTACAGCGTACAAAAAAAAAGAAAAGGAAAAGCTCATCATTTGAAGTCAATTTTCGAGATAAGATGATGTAAGCTAAAGGAATTTCCATCAAAAATCACCTTGAAATAGAGGGTTTTCCTCTAGACTACAAACTACAAACTATAAGGTTGGTAAAAAAGAAATGCGCGTTTTCGTTAAAAGTTTATTTTATTATAAAAACAAGATAACAAAAAAAAGAACCGTATTGGAACCGTATTAGATCAAAATAGGAACCGTATTGGAACCATATTGGAACCGTATTGGAACCATATTGGAACCGGATTAGATCAAAATAGGAACCGTATTGGAACCATATTGGAAGCATATTGGAACCGTATTGGAACGGTATTGGAACCGTATTAGATCAAAATAGGAACCATATTGGAACCATATTGGAACCGTATTGGAACCGTATTAGATCAAAATAGGAACCGTATTGGAACCATATTGGAACCGTATTGGAACCGTATTGGAACCGTATTAGATCAAAATAGGAACCGTATTGGAACCATATTGGAACCGTATTGGAACCGTATTAGATCAAAATAGGAACCGTATTGGAACCATATTGGAACCGTATTGGAACCGTATTGGAACCGTATTGGAACCGTATTAGATCAAAATAGGAACCGTATTGGAACCATATTGGAACCGTATTGGAACCATATTGGAACCGTATTGGAACCGTATCGGAACCGTATTGGAACCGTATTGGAACCGTATTGGAACCGTATTGGAACCGTATTGGAACCGTATTGGAACCGTATTGGAACCGTATTGGAACCGTATTGGAACCGTATTGGAACCGTATTGGAACCGTATTGGAACCGTATTGGAACCGTATTGGAACCGTATTGGAACCGTATTGGAACCGTATTGGAACTTAATTGGAACCGTATTGGAACCGTATTGGAACCGTATTGGAACCGTATTGGAACCGTATTGGAACCGTATTGGAACCGTATTGGAACCGTATTGGAACCGTATTGGAACCGTATTGGAACCGTATTGGAACCGTATTGGAACCGTATTGGAACCGTATTGGAACCGTATTGGAACCGTATCGGAACCGCATTGGAACCGTATTGGAACCGTATTGGAACCGTATTGGAACCGTATTGGAACCGTATTGGAACCGTATTGGAACCGTATTGGAACCGTATTGGAACCGTATTGGAACCGTATTGGAACCGTATTGGAACCGTATTGGAACCGTATTGGAACCGTATTGGAACCGTATTGGAACCGTATTGGAACCGTATTGGAACCGTATTGGAACCGTATTGGAACCGTATTGGAACCGTATTGGAACCGTAATAGGAACCGTATTGGAACCGTATTGGAACCGTATTGGAACCGTATTGGAACCGTATTGGAACCGTATTGGAACCGTATTGGAACCGTATTGGAACCGTATTGGAACCGTATTGGAACCGTATTGGAACCGTATTGGAACCGTATTGGAACCGTATTGGAACCGTATTGGAACCGTATTGGAACCGTATTGGAACCGTATTGGAACCGTATTGGAACCGTATTGGAACCGTATTGGAACCGTATTGGAACCGTATTGGAACCGTATTGGAACCGTATTGGAACCGTATTGGAACCGTATTGGAACCGTATTGGAACCGTATTGGAACCGTATTGGAACCGTATTGGAACCGTATTGGAACCGTATTGGAACCGTATTGGAACCGTATTGGAACCGTATTGGAACCGTATTGGAACCGTATTGGAACCGTATTGGAACCGTATTGGAACCGTATTGGAACCGTATTGGAACCGTATTAGGAACCGTATTGGAACCGTATTGGAACCGTATTGGAACCGTATTGGAACCGTATTGGAACCGTATTGGAACCGTATTGGAACCGTATTGGAACCGTATTGGAACCGTATTGGAACCGTATTGGAACCGTATTGGAACCGTATTGGAACCGTATTGGAACCGTATTGGAACCGTATTGGAACCGTATTGGAACCATTGGAACCGTATTGGAACCGTATTGGAACCGTAATTGGAACCGTATTGGAACCGTATTGGAACCGTATTGGAACCGTATTGGAACCGTATTGGAACCGTATTGGAACCGTATTGGAACCGTATTGGAACCGTATTGGAACCGTATTGGAACCGTATTGGAACCGTATTGGAACC